TAAAATTTTCTTATCAAGGTAGCTGCTTAGTGAGAGGTCCAGCATGTACTCCAGAATTCAGTCATTAACACGGAGACATAATATTTGATGAGAAACTGGTCTTACTCTCCAATAGAACAACAGTTAACTCATACAACATGTTTAACATTATTGTTCATGAATATACAATATCACGTATGCTAATATCTGATGTTAAGATGGAGCAAGTTTGAAGAAAAGGACTTGATTTTGGTCAGAAGCTCTCTACATGGACTCCAATTTTTCAAAAAAAAAAAAAGTCTTCCTTTGAAAAGTTATTAATATACTGGATAAGGAGTATTCTTTGGACTTTTGGATGTATTTTACTGTAAAAACAATGGAATAAACAGTAGTTAGGTTATCAGTATACCTCAGAAACATCTATTCAATCCACAATACTGATGAGTGCAGATCGCTGAGATTTTAAAATTTCACCCTCTCTGACCTCCTGATCCAAGGCTGCTGAGTTGCTAACCAATATGATGGAATTGTGCTGGTTTGCTGCCACTGAAATTTCGATTCTCTCAACCTGCTCGTCTCGCAATGCTGCTTGTGAAGTGAATGCCTTACAAATGTGAGAACACAATCCTCATCATTAATATATTGTGATAGAGCCACATAGTGAGAAAAGACATCAGCAGAGCTTAGGAGGACAAAAGTGTGTTTAAAGCCCTACTTGGGACTCTGGAAAATTAATGATTCTGAATAGTTTAATTTCTTATTCAGCTCAGTTCAGCAGACATTTCTTTTTTTTTTTTTTTTTTTTTTTTTTGAGACAGAGCCTCAAGCTGTCCCCCTGGGTAGAGTGCCGTGGCATTACAGCTCACAGCAACCCCCAACTCCTGGGCTCAAGCGAGTCTCTTGCCTCCACCTCCCAAGTAGCTGGGACCACAGGCGCCCGCCACAACGCCCGGCTATTTTTTGGTTGCAGCCGTCATTGTTGTTTGGCGGGTCCGGGCTGGGGATTCGAACCCGCCACCTTAGGTGTACGTGGCTGGCGCCTTAGCCAGTTGAGCCATAGGCGCCGAGCCACAGCAGACATTTCTTAAAGAGCTATTCTGCATTAAGCATTCTGGTTAGTTCGTCTAGAAGAAGTTTTTAATTCTGGCTTCACAACAGAATCATTTTCAGAGCTTTAAAAATACAAATATGCAAATACTACCTACAAAATTAAATTATCAAAGAAAGAAGCTTGTACCAAAGCATGGAAGCATGTGACAAGATAGCATATTCAGGTTAAATAGTAAGAAGAGGGAGAGAATTTGGAATCATTGATTTAGAAAAAAGATATATGCACACACACACGATAGTGTAATACATATTTGGTCTTCAATCTCACTTCTTGACATACAATTCCTAAAATCATTAGAATATCCAAAGTAATGTCTTTTGTACACTAATGAGTTGACTGATAACTGTCAGGCCCTAGGTAGCTTCAGGATGAACACTGGTCTCCAGCAAGACCAAAGCTGGATTAGAGGGTTGGGATTTTCAGCCCTACTTCTCACCCTCCAGGGAGGGAGAGGGATTAAAGGTCAAGTTGATCACCAATAGCCAATAGTCTAATCAACCATGCTAAGTAATGATGCTTCCATAAGGATCCAAAGGGGTCCAGGTTAGAAGAGCTTCTAAATAACTTCAATGGGGACATTCCTAGAAGTTGGTACAACTGGAGAAAGTGCCACACCCCTTCCTATACTTTGTAACATTCTTTATAATAAAACAGTACATGTAAGTGTAATAAAACAGGTGGTGGAAAAAAAAACCTCTGTTGGACAAGTAGGAAAAGCTTTCCAGGACAGCCAAGATTCTACACCAAGAAGTTAAGGGTTTCTAGGTCATGAAGTGGTTACTTTGTGCAAATGTTGTGAAACACTTACAACCTTCTTCCAAGTGGTTAACTAATGCCACCTGAAGAGTCTATGCTGAAGTCCATGATCTTCCCCATCCCCCAACCCAGGCCACTTATCTTTTTGATCAAAGCAGTTAATTCAATTACATTGAGAAAAATTTCAGTAGATAACTGATGCTGGAAGAAAATAAATCATAAAGAAATATGTCTCATAATCTCTGGAGGAAAATAGATCATAAAGAAATGTGTCTCATACTCTTTACTCTCAAAACAGATTAAACCAAATTTGAAATCAGAAACATATTTAACTTAAGAGTGTAACCAGCTTCAATTAAAGAAAAGCCATGAAGATATAATTTGGTCTAACAGTATTCTACCTCATGAAATGGTATACTGGAAAACCTATTTAAATTAACTTTTTAATTTAAGATAATTGTTGATTCACATATAGTTGAAAGATATAATACAGAAAGATCCTTTGTGCCATTTACCCCATACCCTTCACTGGTAATATCTTGCAAAATTACAAAATATATCAAACAAGGATATTGATACAGTCTGGATACAGAACATTTCCATCATCACAAGAATCTCTCATGTTACTATTTTATTGCCATATCTAAATTCCTTATGATACTCGCCCACTTCCTTAACCCTTGGCAACCACTATCCTGTACTCCACTTTTATAATTTTGGCATTCAATAATGTTATATAAATAGAGTCATATAATATGTAACTTTTGAGATTGGCTACTATTACCCAGGACAGTTCTCTAGAGATTCATAATCCTCCTATAAAACCTTTACACTGATGCTGACCATGAAACAGAATTAAAACCTCGTAAAGTAAACAGAGACCTGGCATTCTCTGACAACTCACATGAAAGTACACAGCACAAGAAAGATTAAATTTCACTGGCTCTGCTGTGTTTTCTTACCTCTGTGAAGACATAAGGATGTTTTTATTGTGAAATTATTACCAGCCTTTCCACATGGAAATTACAAATCTTTAACCCTGTATGGTTTACACATTGAAATTACAAACTTTTTTACTTATGTGGCCATCAAGGTTTGTGAAACTTGCCTCAGAAAAACATAGCCAATTAAATAAGGGAGTTCAAAAATCACCCATATTAATATTAATAATTTCATATATATATAATTACTGTGAACTTCCTGAGTTTCCCCACTTTATAACTAAGTCTTTGCTCTCTCACACTATGCAACAAAAACAAAAACAGAAAACCTCAGTGGAATTGCTGTTGTTTGAAACACTAGCCCCTATGTTGTGTTTCAATCATTACAGACAAAAAAAAAAAATGCATCTGTAAGCTTCAAAATCTACAAAGCCACAAACTAGTTTGTTTTTCCAATTTTTCCTTCAAGGCATTCAGGTATCATTCATAATCACTCTAATATCTGCCAAACATGGCAAAAGAATCTCATCATGGAATAATTACTTTAAAAGTAAAAGCAAAATTCTAATCAGATAATTTACTAACTTTCTATTTCTTACCATTTTTAAAAACAGAAACGAGATAGATTCATCTCACATTAGGAAGCCTATAACAAAAAGAACAAGCTACAAATAATGAAAGGGTCTGCAACTCGTTGCATGTATATAAAACACAGGCCCAAAATTCATCCATCTTTCAACCAGACCCCCAGACTCTATATTGGTGACACAATTTCTTAAGCAAGTCAAAAGTCATTATTAGCCATCAGACATATAATTACTAGATGACGCACATACTCTATTAAGTTTGTAACCTACATACTTAAAAGAGACAAAAAAAAAAAAAACCCTGACAGTCCTGACAGTTCTTTCAAATGTTTGCCTAACCTAATAAACTGTGGGAAAAGGTAACAGGATGTTATTTAAACATTTAAATAATCATGTGCCCTGTAAAAAAATAAATAGCACATGAACTTCTACTTTCCCAATAACTTTACTACATATAAATGTAGAATTACATACACACACACTCTTTTAGGCTTTACTTCCACAGGATAGCCTTAAACTACCCTTCCTTTTCCTTCATAACACTAACACTAACACCAATGATCCCATGTAGACGCTGGAAGTTAACTAGGATAACAGTCTACACACCTCACTCCGTGTGTTAGCTCACTGACATGGGTCTGCCACACCAGACCCAAGAGAACCTACAAGACAGGGAGGGGGTCATGTCTCATTCATCTTTGTATGACCCACAGTGCTAGGGTCTGCAAACTGTTCTGCACAAAGTGAGCAGAAATGAGTTAAGCAAGAAATGCTGAATGCTAAGAAAAAAGGAAAATGTACTTAGGAAGAGATCCATACAATTCCAAAATGCAATATGCAAATTTTCTAACTCCTTATTCTCCCAAAAAGGATATTAATGACACTATGTGTCTAAAAGCTTTTGCATTACCTGTAAAACAAACAACAAAAACCCAGATTTGTGGCTAAATTTTTTCATCTGAACAATGAGGATAATAAAAACACTTGGCTCATAGGGCTTTGAAAGGATTAAAAAAGTTGGTGATGAAGTCTCCTTACATCAATGAATGAAACACCATACACACTACTTAAGGGTTAGCTACCGATATCACTAAAAAATCCTATTATAATAAGAGTAAGGCCCACGCACACTGCAAAAGAGGCCAGAGTTTAAAAGGAATTAGCCCAGAAGAGAGAAAACCACAGCTGCCACATTCATCCTGTAAAGGGCCAGATACCACTGTAAATATTTTAGGCTTTAATCAAGACCCAATATCCTTAACACTTGCAGCAACTACTCCAACGAAAAACTAATAGGTCTTTTGTTTCTTTACATTTTAAAATTTAAAAATCATTGTTAGTTCATGGGCCCATACAAAATCCGGCTGGACTTGGCCTGTGGGTCCTAGTTTGCCATCCCCTCACTAAGAGGTCGATGATAATACACTGTTTCATAAACGCAACATAAAGAAATGTTTGTGCGTTGATTACAGTTGACTGAAAAACGTGCTGCCGGAAACTTCTAAAATCCAGACAGACAGGACTGGGCGTGGTGGAGAACCGGGCCAGGGCGGGGAGCAGGGCCTCAGGAGTCAGCAGGGGCCTCCTGTGGCTCTCGGGGTTCGACGAGCCTCCTCTCACACTTACTCCTAGGAGCGGCCCGCGGCCGATCACGGTCTCCCCGGGCGCCAGGGCCACCCGGGGGCCCCCGTCCTGCGGCTGCAACTCGAAGCCCCCGGACATCACGGGCGAGAATTAGGCTCCTTTACAGGGAGACAGTCCCCGCAGCCGTTTCCGCCGCCTACAGACACGCGCGGAGCTTGCCCAGGCCCTGGAAAAACACGGGGAAAGAGGGTAGCAAGGCCCCCTCGGCCGTGCCCAGACCTCCGGGGCCAGGGACCCCAGGCCTCTTTCGAAGTCCCCCACACCTCCACCCGACTCAGTGACGCAGACGCGGATTCCCCTATCGCGCCGCCTCCACACCCCTCCGGACTCCTTCACCGCTCGCGGGACCTTGTAGTCCCTTCCCCTCCTTTTCCGGGCTGAGGACGCCCAAGAGAAACTACCAATCCCAGGAGGCAGTGCGCACCTCCCTTGCGCCTGCGCACCGCGCAGCTAGGCGGGGCTCGAATGGGAGTCGGGTGAAGAACTGCGAGCAAGGATTTGAATGCTGGAGGATTTAGATGGCGGAAGAAGTCCCTGCGGCCGGCCCACTAGGTAGGAGGGTCTTCCCTTTTCAAGTGAATGTCAGCGTCAGCACTCTAAGGCACCGCCTGTGCGCAAGCACAGCTTTCCCTCAGCGGCTTGGAGCCGCGGTGACAGTCAGTGCTGACGATTGTCATTGTTATTTACTTATCAGTGGGTGTTCTTGGGACTGAAGCGTCTGCTGCCTGAGCGAGACACAAGGAGGGCGGCTCAGACGGGACTTGAGGTCGTTACTTGCGACTTGCAGGGTCTTGACAGTCTCCCCGCCCTTCCCAGGGCTCTGCCTCCGGATCTCTCCCTCCGAGTGACAGATGCAAGGGGGACGAGCTCTTACCTACCTGGAGAGGTAATCTAGCAAAGCTCGATCCATAAAGGAAAAGCGGCAGAAAAGGGATAGTTTCCAGGCAGCCTGACAAAACTGGACTTAGAAGAAAGATTCCTAGAGAAATTCTAGAAACCTCCCCAAGGCATCACCTACTGTTAAATGCCTTCATCCGCTACCTGTGGAGTTCCTGTAATGGAAGGGAGAATTTTACATCACCAGTGAGATCCTGGGTCTAAGTACAAATATTTAAATACACTGTAACATTCCCCTAATAACATAGTAGTTTGTCTTTGCTTTGTGTTTGTGGCAAAACTTGCTCTTGCCTCATACTCTTGTTTTTATTAGTTCATTTCTTACTTCCCCCAAACCCTCAAGAGGAAATTTTCTGTTGAACGCAGATAACGTAAAGAACGGAAGCCACCCTGGTCTTGTCAAGTCCAGAAACATGGCTGAGTAGCACATCTAGAATAGGCAGGCTAGAAAAGGGAGTTGTTGATGGTGAGTTAAAAAGAAGTAATTAGCTGTATCTTAAACTCTTCTTCCTGCATATCCAACCCCTTCCCATGCTATAAAAGAAAGTGCAAAATGGAATAAACTGTTTTTAAGTAAGTATGAGATGTCTTTATATCCAAAAGTAACTCAAGGGTGGTGAGGTACCCAGCCATGCTTTCCACTGATTTTGGAAGCCCACAAAGTTTACCTTAGCTGAGTTAGCTGAAACTGAGCTTTAAATCTTGAGTCACCTATACCTAGCTGACTAATAAACATTGTTTATAGTTGTCATTAACTGTTGCTTGATGGCCTCCATGACTGTTATCCTTTGCTCATAATTAACGATGTATATAGGATAGCTTCAAGGGGTCATTTCTAAAACAAAAATCTTATAATTGAATTTAATACTTGATGTTTTGTGTTATAACCCAGAGTTCATCCTCTTGTCCATTTCAGGTAGTGTTTGTGTCAAATGTGAGCACCAACCCATTAAGTGCAAATAGACAAACAATCGTTTTTATTATTATTATTGTTGTTGTTGTTGGGGATTCATTGAGGGCACACTGATTGCATTTGTTAGGTAAATTCCATCTTATAATTACATCCTGCCTCCAAGAGGTGTGTTACACACCATGACTAAAAGTCTAGCAAGTTTATGATTAAGTCACAAATTACAGGTGAAGAACTTACTGATAAGGCTTTAGTTCCCACAGACAACAAATATTCAGGAGTTTAATAGGATTGACTCATACACATTTTCAAAGACTTTAATGTGTCATTGCTACAACTAATCTCAATAAATATGATCTGATATAGAGAATCATTTCTCATTTAAGATGATGTTTTTTTTTGGGGGGGGCAAATGTTTAGAAACAAAACCGCTTACTAAAAACACTTCAGAAAAGAACTAGTCTGTTGAGCACCTCTCCTGTGCAATTCAGATGTAGTAGGGCTAGATGTTTTACATATTATCCCTGTTAATCCTTTCAAGAACAAACAGAAGAGGAGCAGCATTGGCTCATTTTACAGCTTAAGAAGCTAAAGTCAAAAAAGTTAAAGTTCTTTAAATCATACCCCAAAAGTATCTGACTTAGAGTAGGTTTTATAGACTGATTTGAGAAGACTGAGTATGTTTAAACTTTGCCTTTTAGATTACATACAAGAATAATTTACAAAAACATCAAGCTATGCGGAAAATCTCCATGAGGAACAATAATTCAACAGCTTCTAACATAGGATTAAACTCTGTGAATGCTAAGGAGGAACAAAATGAGAGTCAAAACAACTTTGTTGAACTGCTGCCTCCAGAAATGACTTTTAAAATTTTCAGTCAACTAGACATTCAGAGTTTGTGCAGGGCTTCACTGACATGCTGGAGCTGGTATTACGCAATAAGAAACAGTGACCTCTTATGGAAATCTCACTGCTTAATTGTAAAAACTGTGTGCCCAAGAGAAATAAATGATGATGAAGGAAGTGGTTATTCCTGGAGGGTAAGTTTAATCTTTGCAGTCTGCAGTGTTTTTTGACAGTGCTGTGGTACCAGATGTGAGGCAATTCTAACTTCTCCTTGAAGGAGACAGAATTGCATATGAAGAGAACACAGAGAGTGTGTTGACTTTGGGGAATAAAGTTCAGTTATTACTTCTCTCCTGTTAACCAAGCGATTTCTACACTATCATTTATCCTTTTGCATTTTTTAAATTCTGAATTCAGGAATTTTCTTGTTAGCAAATTGACTACTTCTTTTCACTGCACCTTACCCAAGATTGTCAGTGAACTTTGCAGCACACTGTGCACATACGTATAAATTTATTAATATATGTACATATTAATATTTAATCCTCTTTCTGTTCTGTCAATCAACTTTTCTGGTTTAAAACAAACTCACCAACCAACCATCTCCTACGAATTTTTTTAATGATTATCATTTACTTCTTTCAGGAAATATTGCTGAGGAATTACCAGAATTACCAGAGGAGTAAAGTGAAACTCGAATGGCTAAGTGGTAGATACAGCAACATATGTTCTCACACTATTTTACTAAAAAACATTATGTACCCAATGGATGTAGACACCTGGGGAGAAATTTTAGAAGCTGAACTGGAAAGATAAGAAGAAAAATCACAAACAATAACTGTGAGAGTTTAAAACTCAAATGATTCTTAGGTTACAAAATATGTATCTTTGTTCTTTTTCCTTTCTGTTTCTCTTTACCTTCCTCATATTTAACATTTAAAAGAAAATGAAATAGGAAATATTATAAAAGTAAAGCTTTATTTTTATATAGGTCATTAAGTATGTAATGTCCGATTTCAAGTCAAAGATATAGTTTAATATATTTCAAGCAAGAAGCCATATAATTAATCAAAGTATGTGCCTAAACTGTCCACAGGGTTTTGTTGTCTTAATGGTATGTTGTTTATGCCAACAGCGAAGAAGCTGCGTGGAGTACAAATGGAGAGGACATTGCAAAAATCATTTTCTACCAATTGTTGAGAATTAAATGTTTTTCCTTGCAAGAAATGGTCCAAAGCCTGGAAGAAGTGGTAGTCAGTTGGTACACGATCTGGTGAATACAGTGGACAACAGAAAGTTTCCAAGTTCAGCTTCTGAGTTCAAACAGCTTTGGTTAAATGTTGTTTTTTGCAAGAGGATTGGCCTATTTCCAAATCACAAACATCTTCATAATTTCATCCAGTTGGTTGCAGTAGACATCTGCTTTAATTGATTGACTACATTTTATGAAGCTGTAGTGAATAATACCAGCACTGAACCACAAGATACCGTTAGCTTCTTTTGATGATTGTTTGGTTTGGGGCTGTGTTTCAGCACTTCATCTTTATCCAGCCATTGTCCCAAATGATTGAGATTGTCAAAAAAGAATCCATTTTTTATCACATGTAACAATACAGTGTGGAAATGGTTTGTTTTTACCATGTCTGACAGTTAAGTTTGTGAACTTCCTACCATGTGCTTATGTTGGCAGCACTGTACAAACAACATGTTAAGGTTTTATAACCTTGGTATATCTTTTTTTTTTTAGCCAAGGCTGGGTTTGAACCCACTACCTCTGGCATATGGGGCCGGCACCCTACTCCTTGAGCCACAGGCGCCACCTACCTTGGTATATCATTGTGTTCATATCAATGTGTGGTGATGTCTTGCTCAGTGGTGTTCATTGTTGTATATTTTTAGGTGCCATTTTGAGAATGTTGGAGCTTGAATTAGAGCAACAAACAAACATTAAATCTCTGATTACATGTGGCAAGAGTAGAAATGAAATCAGGGACCTTTTAGTCCAATTTTATAGGGATAATGCCATAAAGAAAATGGCATTAAACGTTTTTCTGAGGGGAGAGAAAGCATCACTGGTGAAGAGAGGTCAAAGTGGCCAGTAAGGATAACTGATGAAAACATTACAAAAGTTCATCAGATTGCGAGTCAAAATTGTTGGCTGACTGTGAGAAACATAACAGACCAAGTAAACATTGATAGAGAAACAGGAAAATCGTAACTGAAAATCTTGGCATGAGAAAGGTGTGACTCTTGGCATGAGAAAGGTGTGACTCTTGCATCATGACAAAGTACCAGTTCACACAGCACTGTCTATGAGGGAGTTTTTAGCCAGTATAACTATATTGGAACACCCTCTCTACTCACCTGATGTGGTCCCCTGTGACTTGTTTATTTACCTAAAGATAAAGGAAATATTGAAAGGAAGACATTTGATGACATCCAGGACATCAAGCATAATACAACAACAGCTCTGATAGCCATTCCAGAAAAAGAGTTCCAAAATTGGGACTAGGGTGGATTAGGCACTGGCACTGGTGCTTAGCTTCCCAAGAGAGTACTTTGAAGGTGACTGCAGTCATATTCAGCAATGAGTTATGTAGCATTTTTTCCAGGATGAGTTCGTGAACTTAATTGTTAAGACTGTGCATGTCATAACAGCAAAGAAAGGCAAGCTTCAAGATGATTTATCTTCTGATGCTCATTTAATTCATGCGGAATTCATCTGTCCAGCTTCTTTATCTGGTTGTTTTGTTTCGAGTGGTCCAATAGTATTGGAATAGTAATGTCAAACTTTGCTGCTAATTCCCATGTAGGTTGAGATGGATTTGTTCGACTACAGCTTTCAGCTCTTCATTATCCACCTTGGTCTCAGCTGCCTACTTTGCTCATTATCAAGATTAAGATCACCAGAACAAAACTTCTCACAGCATCAACGTACCCTGTGTTTATGCTGCATCCTTCCCAAACACTTTGTTGATATTTCGAGCTGTCTTTGCTGCACTGGTTCCATGACAAAACTCCAATTTGAAAATAACACCGATTTTTGACTTATCTATGGTTTCACAAGAATTGCTCTAAAAAAATTGAAAATGAATCACAAGCCAAAATGTCCATTTGAAAGACTGAAGATGTACCTTCACAATAAAAATAAAACACGAAATGCCAAAGAAAATGTTAGAAATGTCAGCTGTCAAACTTAGCACTTTCAGGAAATCGGACATTTCAGACTTAATAACCTAATATTTTTGCACTTTAGTAAAATATATTTTTCTGGTTTTTCTATAATATGGAAAAATGATGAAATGCTATATTTATAAGAAATGTTGTACTGCTAGAATAATTTCAGAATGTTTTGTGCATCTGTGTTAGTATATTGCATTACTTGAAATGATGGATTTTGATTGGCAATTTCAGCTTAATGATCAAGTGGCTTAAAAATTGATTAGCCACCTCAGGAACACTAGTGAAGTGAAATAAATAGCAGTGAGTTTAAATAAATAAATTTGCATTTCAGTAACTTTAACATTTACATTTCATTACATCAGATTATATTGTCAGATAGTGGAACTATTTTACAATGTGTGACTTAGTTTAAAATTAATGTGACTTTAGGGCCAAAGCTTATCAGATTAACATTCCCATTACTTGCCTACTAACCTGGGATTGCTCTCAGTGACTGAAAATATGTGGAAAGTTTCCCAAACTCTTAACTGCCATCAGAACTGCCACACTTCTCAGCTTGGTCAATCTTTCCGACAGCCTTGTAGCACCATCTAGCGTACTGTTCACACATGCAATACAAAAGATATTCAATTCCTTCTTTTACCCACATATTTAAAAGAAAGAAAATCATTCTAGAGAACCCTTAAAATTTGACTTTGTTAAAGTTTATGATTTTTTAGGAAACTTTATATCAACTTTTGTTTCTCATTTTCATAGAAGTAGATGGTATAATACTCACCAGACTAGATTGTTTTCTCTGAATCTGTAGTCAGCACCATCTTAAGAAGTGTCTATAAATTTTTTTCTTCTTGAATTCCCTTCTATATCATGAAAAACAAGAATCCTATAAATCAGTATTTAACAAATAAATATCATAAAGATACCCTACTGTATACAAATTCTCTTTGTTAGATCAAGCAGTTGATAATTGGTTGTCTCCTACTATTTTCTTAGAGTTGAAAGAGGCCTTGAAAATAAGGCAGTCCAGTCTCCAGGACTATTTGGTAATTTCCTCTGTGGAAACACTGATAGCCAGCTCAAGCTCAAATGCCATGTTTCTAGTGACAGGATTTCTGTTACATCATAAAAGAGTCCTATTTATTGTATTATACGATTGTTCCAATCGTTAGAAATTATTCCTCATTAAACTGAAGGCCACCTCTCTGTAGTATTTGCCTACCAGTCCTGATTCTACCATCTAAGAATCTAGAACTAGACTAATTCAATTCTCTATGATTGCCATTCAAAGATTTAAAGTCTGTTAATCTGTCTCTTTCCACGTCTCTCCAATTCCTTTGCTAATCATAGAATATTATTCCTAGGTGCAACAGCATTCTCTTCTGTCCATGCCCTCTTAATAAAAGGAAGGTATCCTACTAATTTTATTTCATAAGAGATGACATGAAAACAATTTAAAATGTTGAAAGTAAGGGGGAAATTAAAGCTACAGGCATTTTACTGACTAGCATCTACAGCATTACAAATGAACTATCTAACAGAAAAAAAATAAATAGAAAAAAGAAAGATCACCCCACACAACTGCCACCTTTGTTTGATTAATCATTTGTGGCTTAACTGTCTTTAAGATTAACCACCTGTGGCTTAACTTGTTGCCTTTGAAAGTTTGTTTTAACAACACTTGAAGAGTTCCCAGGCAGAAAGCAAAGGTCCATGGGAGCTCCCACATCCATCAGACCACATTGTAAGGAGACTAATAAGCCAGCCTCACAGAGAAGAGGAAAAAAAAAAAAACAAAAAACACAGCCACTTCACAGCTGCCTTCTGCTATCAGCTGGCAGCAATAACTATTTTTTCTTTCTCTTTATTCCAATTAAAACCCCCAAACTCCTTACCTTCAATGCCAGCACTTCTTTCTTTCTCTCTTTTTACATCCTTCTCTCCCTTGGGAAGTAAAATAAACTTTTTCTCCAAACATATCCTAATCTTTGTGTCAAGAATTCTGTCTCATCCTGCACTATGAGTTTCTACCCTAATATGTACAATCGTGTTATCTGCTTTTTTAACGGATGTGGATTATCTTTGTCTAATCCCCTTGATGTCTATTAAACTTCATCTGTTAAGAGAATTGTCCTAATTAGAATTTCCCTCCTCACTTCTTCCCCTTTATCTCCTCTTTCCCAGCCTCTGTGTTTAATCCAGGGATGGGAACACGACCCAAACCACCTTCTTGCATAAGCAGAAAGAGAGAAGCCCTTTCCTCTTTGTGACAAAACTGTTTCTTGCCCACACAGAGAAAACAAGTCCTCAGTAAGTGGATCTTACAAGAGAAAAAAACAATTGCAGAGAGAGGCCTGATTGTATTCAAGACTCTGGCCCCAGCCATTCCTGGTCTGCTCACCTAAAGTAGTTCAAACAGAGTTTCAGTCACTCACTGAGAACCCTACCTGATAACGGTTTTCTTTGCCTATATTTGCAGTACATGGTATCTGTGGTTGACATTAGCATCCTAGTTTTTAAGATATAATACCTTGCTTTGTCCTTAGGACTACTAATTTTATATCCTCCTGAAGACAGGTCCTTGCCTCTGACCCTTGTGATTCATTTCTCAATCTGTTATAATCTAACCATCACTC